CGCACTAACAGTGCGTGCCAAGAAAGAATTTTTACAGGAGAGAGTTGTGATTACTTATTCATTGGATAGTATGGTTTGGTATAGGGTAGTGCCCTCATTAGTCCATGCTGCCGATGAGCCGTGTCCCTCATACCAGATCTGCTGTCCGTCATCACGACTACACCTGCTAACTCAAACTCAGAGTTCCTTATTGATTCAATCCAACTGTATTGGCTAACTAGAACCATAACTGGTATTGTATTGCACATATGGCTGCGTCAAAGCACATATTCACGCAGTTGAGGTGTAGCTGCAGGGTTCATGGTTCTTGAGTCATGGCTGCAATATCACCAGCTCGACAGAAAGGGTTGGCGACAACGAGAGCAAAACAATACATCCACTTAACCACGTCATATTACAGATATTTTATTGATACATACATAGCTGTTGTATCATTGACAGCAACACTATGATACATCTCTGGGTAACTACATAGCATGTGTTGCATAGAGAACGGAGCCTATTTTTGACAATCAAAACCACCCATGGTTGCACGAGAGTCTGAATAGGAAATAAGCGGAGGTATGACATGAGTCGTGCACCGGGGAGGATACGGAGGCCAACGCTCGCAGCTCTCCAACTCGTCAAATGTGGCTTCGGTAAGAGATGTCCTGCCGATGAGTACTCCGTAGCTGGACATAGTAAGGGATGCGAAGCCGGCTGGCTCCAGATAACTACTCGACTCATGGCGAGTATAGGATGATAGAGTAGGAGTCACGACAAACCACCTTGGGTGAGAGCTACGAAAGTGGCTGGTTGTAATGACGCGAATGGGATGGCTAAATGGATGAAGGGAGCAGGTATATAAAACTTCACTTATTATTGGTGTTGCCTGTCTTTGCGAATCTTGGCCTGACATCTGGCAGCACCTCATGACAGAGACCCCTGCTCTGGGCCATACGTGGATATGGAGCCGAAATTGCTAGTGATGATGTTAACCACAGCAGACATGGGGCCTGGATGTTAACCGGAAGAATACTGCTGCAAATCGATGGACCAGACCCATACGATACAGAGATCCCAAAGTTAAATAACGAATAAACCCCTGAGCAAAGTTGATCAGGGGCATCATCGCTCATTATCCTTGGCCGGACTAGGAATGGGTCAGGGACGGGGGGTTGACCTCACTTTATAGATGCAGGCTTGCAGGGGCTTGTCAAGCGCGGTAACGGACGCAAGTGGATATCTCGGGGTCGCAGTAAATTGCGCTGGAGCCTTTTTGAAGGACTTGATATTTTGCACTGATCGCTGCAACATTCTGGAGTCGTCACTGATCAAGCAGGTCAAGCAGCACAAACTAGACAAGAGCCATGTGAATCCTCAAGCCACAGGTGATGTGCCAATATGCTTGACGAATAGTAACAGAATAAGGTACGAGTCCTTCGCCAGAGGCCTTTCCGGTAATAAGAAACAGAATGTCACTGTGATGGTGAGCAACTGCCGTTCGAGAACAAACCCAGAATCTGGTTGCACTGGAGTCTGGACGCCTTGCCGTATATGCGTATGTCATATAGGATTGTATGTGAAACTTTGGCATCCGCATTTGCTCCGACTTATTAATGGGCTTACGCTATGCATGAAGTCCCATTTGAAAAAGTGTGTGTTTTGCTGCAGGTACCACCCATACACACTTGGCTGAGATCTGTACAAGAAAGAGTGTAAACTCCGTGTTAGGACTTGAATGTTGGACAGATGCCGGCTGGCTGCATCTACCTCCAGTTTGAGCCACGAAATGGCAGTCGTACGAGCAGTCGACGGATATAGGAGCGGGTGGGCGTTGGTGTCACCGGCTAAAGGAGTAGTTCTATCAAGGCTTCGATTCTGAGCAGCGCCAGACATAAATAGTGTCTGTGAACAGCGACATTCTTTTATCTGAGCTTCTTCAGCAGAAGGTTGATCGACAATCACGACGCAACCAAAAGCGACACCAACAGTTTTGATACGAACAGGGTCCAAATTTCAGTTCACTGCTGAACAGGCCTACTCTGCGTCCTGCAAGAAGCCAGGGTTCATCGGAGCTCGACTAGAGGCTCGGGCCCACAAGGTGCTCCGGATCCATCGGTTCCCCGGTTTGCCTGCAGTTTTGTTTGATCCATGCAGGATATTGAATCAACAAATTCCCCTTCTGACGAAAACGACACAAATTGCTCCAAGTTGGGTGAAATATAGGGACGACTTGCATTGGCTTGCAGAATAGAGAAGACACAGCAACATTGGAAGTGCGCAAGCCATTGAGATAGCATGGAACCGTCTCGCTGCTTCGAGCCGATGAAGTTTGGGTCCCAATGTGTCTTGTCTCAATGTTGTCTCAAATGAGATCGTCACCGAAAATCTTCAACAATTGGGGACTTACCTTACATATATCAGAATTCTGGTCTCAACTTACATACCTGAGAGCCCTGTGAGGAAATGGAAGCCAATTCGAAGATTTGGAGCATCTAGAGGGGAAGGGCATTGGCCACCTAGCATAAACCAACAGGGCAAAAAATAGTTTCTTCCCATTCCAGCTACGTGGGATCGTGAATCGTGATAGCCGTGTGTAAGATGGAAGGCGCTCGTTGCAAGGACCTTTCGCGTAGTGACTTATAGCCCCAGCAACAAAGGCACTGAAACTCCTTTCCGGGGAGGTCCTTTGGTACAGAGCAAACGAGCCAGCGAGGATTTAAATTATCTTAGTGGAGTCGACAAGGCCCAAATTTCGTGGGTCAGAAACCAGCTCATGACAGGTTTGGAAATGGCCATGGACGGAGTTGGTACTCTTGGACTAGCTTCTGCTTCTTATGAAGCGAAGCGAAAGATCATCTCTTGGATGGCAACAAGTAGCGCGGGCTCTGGGTTTGTCTTGGCTGGGCCCGAGCTACCAGCAGCTAGTAAATACTTAAGGTGAACTGTGATTTGCTAATCATCCATGAAAATGAAAACAGACACGAGCTGCTTCCCCTGAAGGGTGCAGTTCCAGAAACCAAGAAATCGTCCATTAGCGGAGAGATTTACTGCGAGCCAGGGTCTTTGCTGAGGTTTGGGGATCAGGAAAAGACCTGAAGTCCAAGTTTGCCCGAGTGTCTTGAGACATTGTACACCCTGCTTCTGACAGTAATATAACTGCTGGCCCTCGTTGCTTGTAACATTGAGTTATCGAAGATGGTCAAATTTGGCGGGAGATCACCTCAGTGGCTCTGGTGGATGCAGTTTTAGCAAGTGGACGCATGCAGTGGGCGCAATCTGGGTAGTAACCTGCTTGGGGTGGTGCGCCTTCGAGTCCTCCACCTACCCAGCTCGGGTTAAGACCCTCCGCTCTGGGGCGAGGCTCTAGCCCTGTTCGCTGTCAGGACGACCTGTCTTGGCCGCTCAGTGGACGGGGTGAGCTTCTGTTGGAAGCTTGGGTGGGCTCAGTTGGCGATGGCTAGGACGAGGTCAGGGGCTGGTTTATCTCGAATCGCCGTTGTGCTTGCAACTTGTAGGGCAACGGGAACGACCAATGGGTCTCATTGTTGTGTGGCCAGATAGAAGCATTGCTGTGGCAGGGCCTCCCTCTGAGCAATTCTTATGGGAGTATGTCCGAAGATCCAAAGTCGATTGATTGGAATATTTGGTTAAGGTGATGATGTAGATAGTGGAAGTTGTGGTGCGGTACATAAAGTTGATGGTGTTTGGGTGAGTGGATGAATGGAGCTTGAGCTGGAGAGGGAGGTCGGATTGGATGGAGTGGACAAAAAGGGTCGGGGCGACGGCGACGGCCGCAGGGTTCTTTCTAGCTGCAGGTTCGTGCAGCAGAAATCGCCCACTGTAAATTGATGGCGGGGCCTTTTTTTTGGTAGGTTGGGGGTACTTGATGTTTGGTGGATGAATCCCCAGAATCTTGTGTACCTGAAAACGGATGAACTGGAGTCGACTGAGACATACTGAAAAGCTACTGGTGTTGTGGTCAGCCGGTAAACTCTATAGTCAAGAATTGGATTACGGGCAACGACAATGATGACGGTTACGATTGAGTGAACTTAATTACGATCGAATTTATATGTCTCTCTCTACCTTAGGAACAAGACGAGGAGCAAGTTGGATATTGTCCCAATGGAGGGCTATCCTTCATCCTTCTGTACTTCAGTGGTTACTTGGTGCTGACTCTAGCAGTTAGTTAGTACATACCTTAGGTAGCATTCTGCCGTAATCTGTATCCGTACCGAACCGTGCCTTAATAAGGTACGTTCGATTTACCTTACCAATTGAAGCTTGCGTACCTAGGTCATTAATCTGTCTGCGCACATTATGTTATTGTTGCCGCTGCCGCTGCCACTGGCCAAGTCGAGCCCGCGCCCACTCGTCCACTCTCAGGTTGGGACTACCCACTCAAATGGAAGCACACGCCCCCCTGCCCGGACCTGCTTGTACTGTACCTACTTGCAGGTAGTCCCATCTGTAGTCGGGTCTGTAGCTCACATTCCCTCCCCCCCTAAAGGCCCCTACCACTAAGAATCCTCCTCACTTCTCTCTCCTCCAGCTCCTCTCTCTCCTCCGGCCTTTTCCCTCTCCACTTGCATTTGCATTGCATTTCGCCCATTTCCATCCATCCACCAACTTCAGCCGGCCGAGCTCCTGTTTTCGCCCATCATCAATTTCTCACCTCGAAAGTCGCTCTTTTCTGCTGCTCGACCTGAGCTCGACTTGAATCTGAGTATCGTCGCCGCTCTCCTCGATTCATCTCTCGACACCGCCCCCTTGGTCCTCGGAGATCGCCCAATCTCACCTCCCGTCGCGCGTAAAACCACCCGACAACAAAAGTTGACTGGTCGATCACGATGAACTCGCAAGGCAACAGTGATGTCTCCCCCGAGGCTATGCAGTCGCGAATTCAGCAGGCTCGTCGCGAAGCCGAAACTCTGAAGGACCGAATTAAGAGGAAGAAGGATGATCTCGCCGACACAACTCGTACGTGCTTCCCGATTGCCTAGTCGCCCCGAATTCCTCTGGGAAACGAAACGAAGATGGCTATCAACAATGATATTTATCGACACGCGTCTTGTCAACATATCGTTGTAAACTATGAATTAATGCTGACTTGGTCCTTCTCAATTGTTTAGTTCGCGCTGTCGCACAACAGGCTCATGAGCCTATTCCCAAGAACCAGCTTATGAAGGCCAAGCGAACACTGAAGGGTCACCTGGCTAAGATTTACGCCATGCACTGGTCGACCGATAGGAGGCACCTGGTTTCGGCTTCTCAAGATGGCAAGCTCATTATTTGGGATGCCTATACCACCAACAAGGTCCACGCCATTCCCCTGCGTTCCTCATGGGTTATGACTTGCGCCTATGCACCCAGTGGTAACTTCGTGGCTTGCGGTGGTCTCGACAACATCTGCTCCATCTACAACTTGAACCAGCAACGCGATGGTCCTACCCGTGTTGCTCGTGAGCTTTCTGGTCACGCCGGTTATCTTTCCTGCTGTCGATTTATCAACGACCGCAGCATCCTAACATCCTCTGGTGACATGACCTGTATGAAGTGGGATATTGAGACGGGCCAGAAAGTTACTGAGTTTGCTGACCATCTTGGTGATGTGATGAGCATCAGCCTCAACCCTACCAATCAAAACACCTTCATCTCTGGTGCTTGTGATGCTTTCGCCAAGCTTTGGGATATTCGCGCTGGAAAGGCTGTCCAGACCTTTGCTGGCCATGAGTCCGATATTAACGCCATCCAATTCTTCCCTGACGGCCACTCTTTCGTGACCGGATCGGATGATGCTACTTGCCGTCTCTTCGATATCCGCGCGGATCGCGAACTTAACCTCTACGGAGTAAGTGTGGACTTTTGCAAATTGGTTCTTTGACCCAGACTAACGCAATTGGCAGTCCGAGTCTATTCTCTGTGGTATCACCTCGGTGGCTACATCTGTATCAGGTCGTCTTCTTTTCGCTGGTTACGATGACTTTGAGTGCAAGGTAAGGCATATTTGTGCTTGTGATTGCAAGCTTGTCTTCTCTGGAACTCGTGAGCTAACGCAACCATTAGGTTTGGGACATTACTCGAGGCGAGAAGGTTGGCTCTCTCGTTGGCCACGAGAACCGTGTCAGCTGCTTGGGCGTAAGCAACGATGGCACAAGCTTGTGCACAGGATCTTGGGATTCTCTGGTAAGTTTCTGTCAACGACAAGATCGTACACCGAGAGGAAAATGACTAACAACATTAGCTTAAAATCTGGGCATACTAATTGTTCCTTGCGACTATGAACCTTTTGTCTGGATATATAAATGCCAGTACGTGCCGCGGCGACTATACCATCTGTGTTCGAACGATTATATTGCCCATCGAATCCGAAATCCAAGGACGCCTACCTTGATCGCGACTACTAGCGAATGCAGGACGACGTGACGAACCGCACCTTACCTTTAACACATACCCCTACCGACGACTTTCCCCGGCCGGACTCGATTATTCGTGGTGGATTTGGGGAAGAAAATACACTGGCTGATGCGATACCTCCTTTTCATTATTCCCTATTTACTGTTTTCCCCGTTTCCTGTTTTTTCTCGCACCTGCAAAATTCTCTGCACCATAGTTTCCCCTTTTCTGACACAACGCGGGCTGTTAGTAATGGGTGGTTGTATTATTGGATGGGTTTCCTCTGTTCAGTTGCCCTTTGTATGCGTATCGACTCGACGGCACATGTCTTTCGGTTCCGGGCTGTTTCTACTGCAAAACGAATAATTCAAGGAGCCAAGATCTGCAATGCCGTGGGGGACGATTTTATATGAGGGGAATCCACGGGAGTTGACGGCTATACCGAGCAAAAATTTCAGACCTCGAGATAATACATCATGATGTTTCAAAACTATACGCCTTTTCTCCTGCCATTGCGAATCTTTGCCGACGTTCCCATTGTTGTGTCAACTTGAGGCCTGAGTCTCGGCGCTGAGCGCGAGCTTGAAAGCTCCGACTGGACCACTGGTCTCGACGAGTAAGGAACATCCAAACACACCGTTTATCGAATCCGTATGGCAAAGGGTTTCCAGGGGGTTATGGCAATTACGGACGATAGCATATTGATGTCACACCTGTTGGTATCGCTCTTGATGTCTTGTCACTGTTGCTTCCGACAGTTGTAACCAATGGGCAGGCTTTGGCAAGGAGAGCCTAGTAGGACACGATCACCAAAAAGGGAGACAAGCGTCGCCAGTTGTATAGTGTACTTGCTGTCAGACGTGTGTGTTAAGTCAGGCGGCTACTAGAGATAATGCGTAGGTGCTGTAGAAGGGACGAAATAGACATTCTAATAAAGTTTTCCGTCAACGTTCCACACTTAACCCGTTTGTCTTGCCGGGAGGCTAGGCATATTATATGGAAATTTGTTTATAATATAAGGCATGAGTGAGCATTGTCTACAGGTTTCTGATGATCCTACGGGACTGAGGATCTGCGAGTTTGTGACATTAGATGATGACTCCCGTTAAATGTACTCCATAAAGTGTTGGATGAATGATACAACGAGGTGCTCATTGTCTGTCATAGGCACATCGTTACTAACGAATGATGTTTGGTGCTCGTCTAGGTAACCAGTAACACATGTTAAGTCCGTCTCGGGGAATTAAGTTAACGAATACTTATATGACAGAGAATGGCTCTGGTCATTGTGTTACTGTCTCCAAATGCCTTGACAATCCAGCTTGGTGAGGGTTGAGACAATTTAAAGGACGGCGCGCGCGCACTTGTTGACTATCAGTACTTCCACCTTTTTCGAAAACCGGAAAAGTTATAGAAACTAAAGGAAGATTGTGAAAATAGTTACCGCATGTGGCAAGACGATGCCATCCTCAGATATAAGAACCAATGTGGAGAGACACACAGGACTTTCACAAATCTCGTCATATATACCTACCGAAGAATACGAAGAAACGGGACTGAACAAACCTGCGGGCATTAATACAATAGTATAGCCAGTCTGAAGAAACCCATGGCAATGAAAGAGCCACTTGTTCTTCTCTGACCAGTTATGATAGTTGAGTAGAACTGGGGCCATCCCAGCACAATACTTGACGAGAGCAGAAACAAGGTTAAGAAGACGATGAAATCAGCCATGACGTACTCAGAACCAGGAAGAGAACACGACAACCAAGATATATACTTCACGTAGGACGATGCGTCACGGGACATAGACGAGATGCGTTGTCAAAGGATAGTATCACAAAGCCCGTGTCTGACAATGGCCCGAGGGTTCTCGTGGTCGCCGTGATACACTGTTGGTGAACTTGGAAGAAGGCATGCCATGAACGCATTCGACACTATGCCATGGTTTGTTGGCGGTGCGGGCGAGGCTAACAGTATAGTGAAGCTGAACTGTTGCAGTTCGGGGCATAATAGTTGTGACATGTGTCAGGAACTGATGAATGCTAAAACTTATTGATCAAAGTGCAATCAGAAACAGGGCCCTAAGTAAGACGGTTATCGTTCTAGAAGGCTTCGGGGAAGCCGAAGCATAGATTATGCCAACGGCTTTGACCATGTAAAGGACCCCGCCAGCAACACCTTGTAATTTATGACATTTGAAATTCTCGTGACAGCTGCAGCCAATACCGATCTATACTATGAATAGCGGTGGCATAAGGTTCTGACAGCAAACTGCTATTGATTGTGCCTCGCATGAGTCAGTCAGCCTTGGCCATGCCATGATGTTATTGACGAGGCTGGGTCTGGGGAAATAAGAGTGGTATGGTCATTGCTTGTGATGATGTGCATTAGAAGGATTGGAAACACGCTAGAAGACCATCAGTAGCTGGGAGAAGGTTACCTTGGCCGTTATTTTGCTTATTTTACAACAATGACTTGGTCTGGGCCAGTGAGGTTGGCCGACCTGAGTTGTCAAAACCAATGCGCCCAAGCCCAAGATTCGTACTGTCAAAGATCGAGGCATGAATGGCTTTCAAGATTCGAAAGTTACTTCGAGATGTAAACAATGCCTTGACGGAAAGTACCAGGCGAGGAGGATTCACCGCTGTTCGCTGCTATGACTCTTTGCATTGTTCTGGCAACACAACCGACAATGCATTCACTCATCCTCAGGCCGTGATTCAAAACTGAAGCAGCAAAGAGCCTGACCGTCATTTTCAAGTCCAAGCTTTGTCACCGCCTGCGCCTTGACGTTCCGTGTTGACGCCACGATCGTAGTCGTCATACTCAGCCATGTCGAATAGACGACCGAAGCAAGAGTCGCGTGCCGCCATCCTCGGCTTCTGTTATTTCCTTGACCGCATCCAATTGGATCCATGTCCTGGCTTGAAACGAGATCGTGAAACAACTGCGGAATACGCTAGCGACCTTATAGCCTCCCCTGGTATCATAGGCCGTGTGATTGGACCTGGAGATGAAGCAGCCGGGTCATGCTTATGCTACGAAGTTGGGGAATGAGTAATAAAAGAGTCAGGGCACGGGTCAGTAACAGGCAGAAACTTCTGATGAGCTTAACTTGATTTTGATTTGGCTTGCGAATGATGGTATGATGAATGTCCATCTGAAAGGAATTCTCCGAGGATCGTTGATGCTGGCTTTTGCTCAGCCTGGAGATGAAACCCATGTCATACCTGGCAGAGCGGATTTCTATATCTGTCTATGATTGGCTGGAGATCCAAGATTGATTGGGGTTTGATGCCTGTCACTTCATGTCAGGAACCCGTGGCATTGCCGAGTCCGTTTCTGGATTGTCGCAGAACTTGATGTGTAGATGTGGATGTGGATTTGGATGTGGTGGTCCCGTTGCCTTGGGCGCTTTGTTTGATGCATTTCAAGCTCAGATCAGACGAGGCCAAGTTTTAATACGATCATGATCTGGTGATTCAACCATGAACGGTGTCTTCACGTCTTGATTCGCCATTAGATCGTATCGTCAAAGCGACCAAAGCAAAGCATTCCTCTCCCACATGCCAAAAACTGGTACGTTACCTTCCATCACATTTACCCCTGAATGGAACTGAACAGCCCATCCGGCTGCTGGGACTCACTGGTGCGACTTTGCCGCATCAAATCTCATTTCATCAACTTCTTCAGCAATTTAGTCCCATTAACTTCTCGGACCAGGTGACCCGTCCCGGAACGGAATGCAACATCATCGACCATTTGCCATCCATCCGTAGCATCCATATCCGGCCATGCCGATTAATAACACAGACGTAGCCTTTTGCTCGAAGTGAAGAGAAAAAAAACCGTTGTGAACCCTGGATCCTTGCTTAACCTGGAGCTATCCACCCCTGACTAGATACTCGCGTGGCTTGCATTTGAAGAGCCATTCTGCGCCCATTGTGTCTTATTGTTGTCACATCAGAACACTTCAGGACCCAACGATGAAAGGAAATCTTGATGGGCGGTCAGAGAACCTATTGGGGAATGTGCTCTACCGAGTCTATCTTGATCGAGGAGGGGGTTATCAAAAGATCTGCATTAATATAATTATAAGGGCTGCTTTGAGGCATGTCTTAAGGTTATGGTTGGTATTAGCATCACCATACTCAGCTTACTATTCCACAATCTGATTGGTGCGCGATCCACCAACTGCCCGAAATGTCATACTCATTTCCATATCCATTCGAATTGAGTGAAGGCGTTTCTATTTCGGCGCCCTGCAACGAGCGCTCAATCCCTGCTCCGCCCGAGTCTTGCGCCCTCTGACCGTTTCCAGGACAGATCACCAGGTGGCTCGACCGCGTTCCTCTATTGTTTCCTGTCGATTGCATGCCTGCCGTTTGCCTCCTTAAACATTCCTTCACCAAAGACTCGAATTCTGAAACAAACCAAGCTCGGAAAAAGAGGATCCCATCCCCTTAGACTTGGATTGCCTCGTCACCTTTTGACCCTTGGATCCAAGCTTTTCGCTCATCTCACCGCCCTGTTCCTGGCCATATCCTTGTCTGTATCGATAAACTCCTGTTTGCGTGGTCTTCTCTAACTCGGATTTCGCCTTTGTGTGCCCTGTTCTCCTCTACCTTAACCCCCCTTCTCCACATCTTCCAGAACGATACAACACTTGTGTTTCCAAGTTCGGCCCTGGACGCTGCTCTGGCATTGACCATCTTCACCTTTACACTTGTTGCGAGACACATACATATTAAACCTCCTCCTCCCCTCCAAATCTGCCCGTCATGTCAACTGCCGCTCAAGAAGAGTTTAACGACCTGGTCGCCAAGAACACATATCGCGAAACCCTCCACCCTGAGGACCGTGACGACCCCGATCTCAAGAACCACCAAGATCTTTCCGAAGAAGACGTTTTCCGTAACGCCCAAATCGATAACGCAATGCGCATGCCTACTGTCGATCGCCTCACCGGCGCTGGCGCCTCTGAGATCAAGCTCCCTCCTGTCTCTTTCGACAGCGGCCGCGCTACTGGCGTCAAGGGAGTCATTGCCGATGCGCGAAACTACGAGGCTGCCCGCAAGAACAAGTGGCGACACCGAGTCCGCACTGCCCGCAACAGCATCTTCGGCATTGAAGCTCCTACTCCTGTGAAGAGCGATACCGAGAGCAGCGATGACGATGCGAAGAGCGCAAGTGATGCCGACGAGGAAGCTTTCCTTGCTGAGTGGCGCGAGAGCCGACGACGTGAGCTTGAGAGCGAGGCCAGCCGATCTGTCAGAAATCGACGAACAAGTCCCAGTGTACGCATCTATGGCCGACTAGATGAGGTCGATGCCCTCGGATACCTCGACGCCATTGAGAAGGTTGGAAGGGAAACCACTGTTGTCGTGTTTGTGTATGATCATGAGGTATGCTTTGATCCACCGTTCCTTTAACCAACATCATGCTAACTCGTCTAGTGTGAGGTCTCCGCTACTATCGAGTCAGCACTCATGCCTATTGTCAAGACCAACCCCGAGGTTCACTTCGTCAAGGTCCACTATGAAGAGATCGAATTTGATAACGCTGCTGTGCCCGCTATGCTCGGATATCGAAACCAAGGTGACCTGTTCGCCAACTTGACAGGCCTGATCGAGATGATCCCTGACGATGAGACCTTTGGCACCTCATCGTTAAAGCAACTACTACAAAAACACACTATTCTATAATGTGCTGGGTCATATCATCTTTATTATACCTTTACCACCTTAATGCGGCCACGTCTACGACACACAATCATTATATTATTCCCATGGACATAACTCCAAGCTGATGTCTTTGATTACGATACCCAACCATGGCGTCAAGTCTACCTCAGAGAGGAAGACACGCTTAAAATTTCTTATGTTTTACTGGCATTATGTTTCTTCGTTGGAATATGAATGCAGCAGGAGGAAGAGCTAGAATACTGGACCTAGCTCACTTAGCTGAGAGAAGAGTGCACGAGCATAATGCAATGATATTGGAGCTTCTGGATAGAATTTTGACTTTTGCAATGCAGATAGAGATACCCTCCTACCTTTATGTGGACATGTAGACATTGGGGTACTTGGGATAGATTAATCCTTGTGGGAGAAAGCGATTGAATTCCCATAAAATATATCATTTATACTACATCTTTTGAATTTCGAAATGCTGCTGTCGATGAGGCCACTCTTTCAATCTGGTGTGCTGAGGATTGGACGATATATGGAAGCATGGTAAGCCAGGAACAATCATGGGATGGGGATAGACCCCTTATCAATATCCCAAATCAAGACGTTAGCTTACACAAAGGATGGGCTCTGATCCCTATTCTTCATCAGCTTATCCTCATGGAGATGGTGCCCTTGGATGAAGCTGATATATATGCGATCTGGTGTTGTGACGCCTGCGTGAGCAGATTATCCAACCAAGGGTGCCATTCTTCCCACAGAAAGGGTTACAATCGGACGATTGGTCCAACAAATTGCATCTTACGTCATGCTACAAATATCGTATACGTATGAGAATAATATTCAGACATGGGGCTGCATCTATTGTTGGTTTTGGGCATCGTATAAGTAGTTGAACAACTTGAACCATAGCGGTGAGAATGGTGTAATTAACAAGCTCGTGAAATGACTCTTCTACGAGTCTTATCTCGCGCTTAAATAATAGTAGCACCGATGTAGAAGAAAAGAAATCGGGTTCGGCGGTTAAGTCTATCTCGAAACTGACCTGACAGCACAACAGATGAGACGGGAGGTTTGCTCACGGGGTCTAATGAGTGGGCTATTTCAGCCCGAAACAGAAGTATCATACCCCGCAGTTGCGCTAAGAGGTCACGACGGTTCATGGTGGGGGTTGCAGGGTTCGATAGTGGCATGCTAAAGCGATAAGCCCATAGGTAAGTTGCCTTAGGGATATAGGAAACTGAATATCAGAGGCGTGTCACCAGGGAGTGAGAAACAAACAGGACGAAGAAAGTTTAATAAACAAGTGTTACAAGATATGTGGCTCGACGAAATATTTTCACTTTTGCAGACTTGAAAGTTAACAAAAGCTTGAAACTTCCCAGGTTGATTTGGGCAAACCCCCCCTGGTGCTGTCTCCCTATCTAAATGGGCGTGAAATGCATGGATCCTCTTTGGTGCTAGCAGGGACCCCAGTTTAAGTGACGACAACGAGGACGGGAAAGACATCAAACACATCACAACAACCCTGAGAGTTGGTGAATAGATGATTCAAGTTGCTTCATCGCTTCTGTAGACAAAGTGATAAGTCTGGAGCTCAAGCTTACAGAAAGTCACAAGAAACCGCGTACGTATTTAGGTTCAGGACAACGCTATAATTCGAAGCATCTGTCATGTAAGCTCAAGTTCAAAGCGATCCACAGCTGGACTACCTGCAGCTTGAGTGAGGGAGTGAATATCTATTTCCTCTGTCTTATCCATCCATCTTCTTCTCTAATTTCTCCTGTCCATCAACACTACCTGCTCTTGACTCTTTGAGCTGCCCATCTACGAAAAGAGCCCCTTCTTCTGACAACAGCAAAGGGCATACAGTGTGATCTTATCAGCTTCCAAGCCCGAGCTCATCCTCACAACCCGAACCCCAGACTGTGCGCCATCATCATAGTCAGCAGCCCAGCGACACATTTCATCAACACAACAGGAACCTTTGGATTTGAGTTTTTGACCTCAGCAACACGCTGGCTTTATATTTGACCAACCTCTGCCACGTAAAGTGCACAACATAGCCAAATCTCCACCTCTTTTTGGCTGCCTTGCTCTTTGGCCATAGACAGACAGCCCCAGGCAGCGAAGCAGGCCAAGCTCAGTCTATACGCCTTCGCCAACATTGGACCTCACGGACCCGGAGCAACCTGGAACAACGATACTTCCAGACTGCGTTGAGGCCACATTTTGTGACTCCAACTTCGCCTGTTAGTTTTTTTCTTTTCTCTCCTAAACTCAGCCTTTCCACAAACACGACATAAGAATCCATTCACATCTATTCTTCCACAATATTCCTCCAGGCTTCCCCCCGCCATCGCAGTCCTACGCAGACCCCCCCTTCCCCATTATCCGGCCTTCCGCTCACCCCTCACCTTATCCTCCCACTTCACTCTCACTTGCCCCTCGCAATCCGACTTCACCTGACGCCTCATCGCATTATCCTTCACAGGTTGCTTCTTGCTATGAAGCTTCTGATGGGATAGACCCTGGTTTTACTGTATCTTCGCATCGTTATGGAACAGCAGGATCCTGATACTCCATCCACTCCTTCTGCCGTCCACCGTGATACTGAACACCGATCGACTCGCCAGTCCCCATCGGCATCATCCTCGACCTTTTCGCTTACACCAGCTCCCCAGCGTCGAACCTCGAGTCCCTTCCCCCGCCCAACAACATCGGCAACACCTGGTCCGAGCACAATATCATCGAACCGAAGTTCTTTGTCGACTTCTGAACCTACTCTACGATTTCCTCGCCCCCAAGGCAATCGGCATCTCGCCAACTGGATTTCATCCAGTAATCCAGACATCATGCGTATCACTACCACCACTGAGGACACCGGCTTGTCCGAGTCCACTTATGAACTAATCTCGGGCACCGATACCGAGTCTCAGGATGGAAACTACACCGAGTCTATCAGCGAGTCTGTCGGCTCCCTCGACGTACACTACCCCGAAGACGTCCATAGCCTCGCCGGCACTGAGCAGACATACGACGACGAATCTCTTGCCGATGAGAACGAACCTCCTGTTTTACAATCTGTACAAGAGCCACAGGCTATGTCTGTGTCTGAACCTATGGACATAAACGAGACTCCACAAGCAGAGCAAAGCTGGGCCTCAGTCGTCAAAAACGGCCCTCTCCCTGAGGTCGAGGCTGAAATCGAGGCAGAAGAAGAGCCCGAGCCTCATTCTGCTGCCAAGGCTGAGCCTGAATCTGAGTCAGAGGATGAAGCTCGATCTCGAAGCTCTCTTGAGTATACTCAACAAAGCCTCAAAACCCCATCAATCCCTAGCCCTGACGCTAGCATGACTGAAGACAGCCAGAAGCCGTCTCCTGATGATATCCAAGAGCAGGCAGAGAGCCAGCGAGCGCGATTCAACAAATGGTTGAAGGAAGTTCAGCCCCATCCGATTCGTCCCCGGGAGGCAATGATCAAATTCGCCAAATCTATCTTCCCTGTGGTCCTCGCCCTTGTCTTGATGTCGTTGATCCGCACCTGCTACACTCCACTATCGAAAGAAGTAGTACCCCACATACCCGCAGCCACCTCCGCTGTCACAACTCACCCCACTCTGTTGACTTCAAGTTATACTTCATTGCCAACTTTGCAGATTCTTTCAACATCAGCGGGGCCTACAGGTCTTGTACCTCTTGAGAATCTCCGACCCGATGAGTGGCTCTGGGGTGGCAAGCAGCCCGAGGTGACTGTTACTAAACAGCGAGGTGGCTTTTTAATCCACATGCCTCGAAGTGCTAAGAAACTATGGCTTGATCGTGACTGTCTCAAGTTCGACGCCAAGCGAGGTGATCAATCTGTTGGATTCGGTACCTCATCTGTCGACGAAGGCATTCTTCTCAAGATCCCCAAGGAGGAAGCCCATGGAACAATCAAGGTTGACATTTTCACTACTTGTCGACCCAAGGTTCACAAGGTCCTTCGTATCACATTCCAGAAGGGAATTATCTCAGAGGCTTTGGACTCGACCTGGGCTTTTGCTCAATACTTCCCAGAACTTGTCCCCGCTGCTGCTCAAGAGGCAGAGCGGTGCCTTGAGGAAGCCAAACGCTCCTTGGGAACAGCCTCTGACAACTTCATGAATACATCTGACAGCGTCTTCAAGAACTTGGGACACAGATTCCAAAAGGCCCACCGATCTTTGAGCTGGATCAAGACCGATATCAGAGACCGTGCCAAGATGGCGACAGAGGGCATCTCGAGGCAACTGGAGGCTGTTGCGGGCGACGTCAAGCAGTACATACCGGACGCGCAAGGGATGCAACAACAAGCAAAGTTGGAGTTGCTGAATGCTCAGATCAGAGCTAGGCTCTGGTGGCTCAAGTACACTGCAGGAGAGAAAGAGTATACTCGCTACCAATGTGCGGCCAAGCAGTTCATGGCCAAGACACTTTCAAACGACAGGGAGCTTCGAAAGACAACCAACAAGACCAGTAAGACGTCTGCTTTCGAGCAATTCTTCAGTGCTTGGTCCTCAAAGAACCGCCGAGACACCGGAGAAGGACAGACGGTATAGCGGAAGAAAAAGGACACTTGTTTGTGTGTTATGGCGCAAGGTTTTTCTTTCCATGTTATTCCCCCTCATCATTATCGTTGGACGAGGACTTATATGCCAAGGATGGACTTGGGTTGGCAATGCTGAGGTATAGGTTTATTTGGGCCGGTGGTGGATTTGGAGTTCATGGGTCTCATACCAACTGTAGACGTCTTTTTTCTATTATGGTTGCTCTTTCCTCACTTCTATTTCTATGATAGTCAACGGTATCGACGAACCCCTTTCAGCAGCTTTGAGTGTCTTATATTTGGGCGGAAAGTGATTCGTTGCTGGTGTGGTGAGTTGCCTGTAAGATCAGAACAAAAAGGAGACCAACTATAGTAAGGTAAATAAATTAATTTACTTCATCTCAACTCATGAATCGTATCACTTATCAGTGGAAATGAGCATTGGAGTCAGTCTCCTAGCAACGGAACTAAACAAATAAAAATATCGTGGAATTGTTGTATGGCTTCAGAACTAGATATTTACGGCAAAGGTGAAGCGTTTTGATATATATTCGAATTAGACGGTGAGATTCTGAATGAGTGATGAGCGCAGAATGTTCTATACCCAATATGCGCTCATATCCTGAACCTCTAACATTCACGACATATTGTTAGAGTATGGCTGTGGTTCATAACGAACATCCAAAATCCTGCGCTTTAAGCCCCACCCGATGAGTTACTCCACAGGCAATCTTGCAATCCCCCTGCCCGATCACTTGTTTGAAGGCCTAGCAAGTATCTCTGCAGCTAATAATGGCCTTAGAGGTACTTATTCAGAGCTCCAAGCTGTCCCCAATCACAAGGTAGCATTGTTGACTTTTGCCGCAGAAGTTCTTGCAGCATCAGCACGGAGCAACAGTGGAGGGCACAACAGCCCAGGGGAAAAGGAGGGGCAGTTCAGTTTTTTTTTACAGTAGGCGGCGGGACGGCAGCCTGACGGACAGACAACCTAAGCCCAAGTGAAAACAAATCACCAGACCTTGACCGCAACCCACTTCCACCATCTACTTTCCATACATCCATCAACACCACAGCATAAACTTTCAACACCGCCCCTTGCTTTCCCGGAAGCATCTTTCTAATTACATTTCGCTTATCTGGTAAGTCTGATCGCACGCTTTCCTCTGTCTGGCTTTTGTTCCTTTCTCCCTCCCCATGAGACGCTTGGGGCAATAAAGGTCCTGAGCCCCTCCCTACTTGAGGAGGGGTAAAAGCATGCCTGCGGGACTGGGATCCTGGATATGCAAAAAAAGTTGCTGACGTCTGAGGGGCAACAGAACTTTGAGTTTACATTCTCAACCGAACACGCAAACTATCAAGATGTCTGCTTCCGAGCCCACCGAGCCCAAGGTCGAGGAGACCAAGCCCGAGGAGACCAAGCCTGAGGAGACCAAGCCCGCTGAGGCTGAGAAGCCTGTCACATCCTCGTCCGTCTTCTCTATGTTCGGCGGTGGCGCTAAGAAGGAGAAGAAGGAGGAGGAGGAGCGTGGTGACAACTCTGGCAGTGCCAAGGCCCAGCGAGAGGCTGCTGAGGCTGCTAAGGGTGACGAAGTACGTTTATATGTCTCAGCAGTGGCATGCTGGAACCGTATCCCCGCGAAACGTGTGAGGCTAACAGGAATACTTAAATAGGAGGAGGCTCCCGAGTCCGAGGATGTTCACTTCGAGCCCGTCATCAAGCTGACCGAGAAGGTTGACACCAAGACCAACGAGGAGGCCGAGGAGCAGACCTTCAAGATGCGCGCTAAGCTTTTCAAGTTCGTCAAGGAGAGCAGCGAGTGGAAGGAGCGTGGTACGGGCGACGTTCGTCTGCTCAAGCACAAGGAGAACGGCAAGACCCGACTGGTTATGCGTCGCGACAAGACCCTCAAGGTCTGCGCCAACCACTACATCGTCCCCGAGATGAAGCTCTCCCCCAACGTTGGCTCCGACCGAAGCTGGGTGTGGAACGCTGCTGCCGATGTCAGCGAGGGTGAGCCCGAGGCTGTTACTCTGGCCATCCGATTTGCCAACGCTGAGAGTATGTTCCACCGGTCAATAAACTCCGACCAAAGGCAATCGCTAACTTATTTATAGACGCCAACAACTTCAAGGACTCCTTCATGAAGGCCCAGAAGGAGAATGAGGAGATCTTCAACAAGGCTCAGGAGGCCGAGGCTCCCGCTTCCTAAGCAGCCTATCTCCCACGACCCCTCCCCTTTCCCCTACCCCTTCGGAGATGGATCTGTATGTCGCCAGGGGCTCCCACTCGTTCGTAGCTCCGCGGTTTCCAGAAGCAAGTCCACTCCAACACTCCCATACAGCATGCCACAACAGCAAGCAAGCTCCCCATACTACTGAGGACGCTTGACCCGTCACATACACGCGCGCGCTTCACCCACGCCACAACACCAAATCCTGAGTCTGTTTTTGATATGGATAGATAGAGATTCCTAGGACGGAAAGGACTTTTTTCATTTTTGAGGTGAACGGCCTCGGTTCAGCCCCAGGGCGGATTGGTGGATGGATAGTTAGCATCATAGGAACATCATATCACATAGCACCCTGTTGAAAGAAGTAAAAGAAAAAAAAATCCATAGATACCTTGTTTATTACTATATAAACTGATTGTTAGTGACTCGAATTTGATGAGTTGTGGGCGGTCGATGTGGCTGATGGTGTCGAAGTTGGAGCTGTGGCTGGTGAGTCTCACCGTCATGTTTGCGCTCGTCTCCCGAGTGTTGAGGACTCGAGTAGAATATGAAGAACAGCACTGTTTGAGCGTATGTTGGATCATGGTACAGCTGCCCGTGATAACGTGTGCGCCATGAATCTGCAGGCCAACCGGGTTGTCCTTTGTTCGTTGGATGTTATGGAAGAACTTACATGTCGCTGTCGAGATGCTCCTACTGACAGATTACACAGTCTACAAGCAGAGTTGACAGTCCAGAATAGATCTCCTCTTCTAATATATCTGTTCCCATTGGTATCTTCACGTCATTGGGAAACCCAAAGGACGGAACAGGACATGACGAGCCAAGAAAAAAAGCATGGAGCCCAAGGCCAGGCCAGTGAGAGGTAGTCAAGAGCGGTAACTTTGTGGAGCAAGCGATTCAGTGTGTCCTGTGTCCTGTGCCCTGGAACCTGGAACCCTCCCCCTATAAGCGCAAGACAGGAGACAAAAACAATTCACGTCTTGGTCGTTCGCGTCGAGTCTGTCTGTCTAGGTATAATAATAGATCAGCTTGTTACTTCTAGGGCCTCTCCTCTCGAACTTCTTTTTCCTCTTTCTTTCCTTAACTTGTATTCCCTAGGTACAGAGCCCATATCAGCAAATTCGTGTCGTCTGCCTTAATCGTCAGTTTCACCACTTGCCTCAGCTCTTTGTTAGATTGAGGTACCAGTAGACTTGACTGCGCCTGCCCGGGGCCCATATCCGTACAGCCATTTCTCTGCCCTGCTGCCCCGTCCAACCAGCAACCAGCAACCAACTGTCTCCTGGGCTGTCTTTGGCTGGTACAGGCTGGCGTGTCTCCGTTTTCCGCCGCCGTTTCGTTTCCAGTCCCATCCATTCAATTCATTTTCACTGTACCTTTCCTTGCCTTGCTTTTCCTTGCCTTGCCTTGCCTTGCCTTGCCTTACCTTATGAATTTGTCCCCTTGCTCGTCTTTGTAACCCGACCCGACGCATCACATCCTTTCCTCATCACTTGTGTGTCCCTGTGTATCCACGTCCATCTTCTTGGCTGTTCCCGTCTTTATCTTCCAAATTTGCCCTCCACGTTTGGCTACTTCCAATTGCTGTTTATTGACACGGAGAAAAGATGTTGGTCGAGGTGAGTTGAAAATCCGATCCAATCCAATCCTCTCCCCGAGTCGCATTGCCCTGCTCCTTCGACGTGTATTCGGATCATTTTGCCCCCTTCGGCTGCTGTATTCGTTCATGTTGTTGCTTCGCCGTTTTCGCCTCTTGCTGTAGCCGCAGCCTCTACCTTGGCTTTCTTTCTTGTCTTTGGGTGCTTGATTTGTCATGCTTGACTTTGTTTCGCTTCACGGTCAAGTGTGTCGCGCGGTGAGGCTCTGCAGAGATTGGTCGCGGTCTGTTCGTATCTGTCTGCATCTGCATCTGCCAGTGCTAGCCAGTGTCCGTGTCAGTGACAAACGGTGACAAGCGTCGCGCGTTGAGGTCGGACAGCCAAAGACAGAACACCGGCCATGTATGCCCATGATGCTTTCTATTTGGCAGCTGTAGTGCCTGTTGAGGCACTGATTGGTCTTGTCTTGATGTTTGCTTTTGTGCTCTTGCACTTCTTTGAGCCCGTTTGCTGCGCGTTGTTGCAGCCTCATTCTCGTTATCCATCAGTTTCTGTCACGCACTTTACCACGCCTTTCTATCTCTTCTCTATTCTATTCTCATTTCATGCCTACACTGTGCGCCAGCGCGTCTTAAATCCACTTCATCTATTTGAAGTTTTGTGTTACTGTGTGACTTTTATTGCCTAGCTTTCCACATCTCCAAACACCTGGGCACTACAATCCAACAACTCATCATCATGGCTCCGCGCCGTTCACGAGCAGCACCTGTCAGAGTGACACTTAGAACCAAGGCTAACTCCTTGGAGCGAAAAATCAAAGTTGTCACCGAGCAACATGTCATGTAGGTTTGCGCCAATCTTTTCCGACGTCTCGGCTGCTTTTCTTGAATCGCGTGCCCTTTCGATCAAGAGCTGCTTCCAGAAGCGATTCGAGCAACCTGCTTTCAGGTACTGACAATTGTGTTTTACTAGCGACAAGCCATCACCCGTAGAGGCGTTCCCCATGCGAGAATGGAGCTTGAAGGTCTTCTTGCTAGATGAAGATGGCAACGAGCGCCCCGCAGACGTCTTCACCAAGGTCGTCTATAACCTACACCCTACCTTTGATAATCCCGTTCAGAGTATGTTTAAAACAAATTCCTGAAATTGCGAGGCAAAGCATGATGATTAACAACTTTGCGCTACCTACCAGGCTTCCAGAAAGCACCCTTCACGTGTAAGAACGAGGGCTGGGGCGAGTTCGAGATTAGCATCGACTGTTACACCACGGAGAAGACCAAGCTAGCGCCCATCATTCATGATCTCAACTTCCAACAGGACCGATATGAGCAGACGCATACTGTGGTCTTCAAAAACCCTTCACAGAACTTACAGGAGCGCTTGCGTGAAACTGGTCCTCTTCCCACCGATGATGACCACAGGCCCAAGAAGAAGGGAATTGCGACCAAGAAGAGCTCCCAGAAGTATGACTACGAGAAGATTGCAGAGTCCCTGGAGAAGCTCGAGGAGGAGGATCTGCTGCGGGTGATTCAGATTATCAACGAAAACAAGGGACCAGACACGTACATTAGAAGTGATGTCGAAGGTGAGTTCTCCCGTCAAGTTTGTATCACCATTCGTACCCTTGCCCCTTCCTTTACGTTTTGGTTGCATATCCACCCTTGTCTTTTCCATGAAATTGATGTGTATGGTGGGCTAATAGTGGATGACTTGGTTAAAGCCGGAGAGTTCTCGATTGATCTCTACACTATGCCGGATGGCTTGACGTCGAAGCTTTGGGATCACCTTGTAAGTTTTCCTGTCGGTCGTTGCTGAGCGTTTCGTGATTACTGACCACGTCGATTTGGCAATAGTCCAAGAAGGGCCTTGTCGGCTAGATGTCCAAGTAGTCGTATCCGATTGTTAATGCTTCTAATGTTATTCCGTCGACAAATAGGTCTATAGTTTGTGCTTGGGAGTTGCTGAAGCATCTGGATTTAGGAAAATGACGAGTTAATGAGCACGGAGGGGACGGACCAGAAAGGGAAAGGGAACCAAAAAGATGTATCTGACCTTTTTTTTCTTTAACTATGTGTTCCAACGGAGTAATCGCCTACAGTATCACCTCATTGAAAGTTCTGTATTATATGCTATCCTGTTGTCTTGATCGTCCCCCAGATAGAATGATATGATAGGATGCTGTAACAACCCCGTTGATGGATGGACGTCGGATTTCGGGCCCGGGTGATGGACGTCGAAGGAGAACTGGCCAATAAAATCGAGGCTTGGCTCGGCTTCGACCGGTCAGCTCAGCGGACCGGATCGATCATCTCAATCGGGTCGGTCATTGAATCTTGCCGTTTCTCGTGGGCGGAGGATGTAACGGAGGGCCGTGTCATTGCGGATGTTGCCCGGCCTGGATACCCGAGAATGTAGAGCGTCTCGATGCAAATCGCTTTATGGATGTTGAAACCTGATCACGAACTTGAGGATGCCAAACAACACAAGTAGGTTGGAGCATGAGGCGACGGCCTCTGATGCGTTCCAGGCGGATCTCGTTGTAAATTGACGATTGCTTGGGTAACAGGGTACTATAAAATCTGCCGTTCCTTAAACGCTGGGTTCAAACAATGAAGAGCCAAGGTCCTGGGTGGGGAGTATTCAAGGTATGGCTCTGGATCTCTAGGTCCTTCGTGCTAATATTCAACAACCAGCTGCGCATCAACGTGACACTTCTATTGGAACACATCATCGTCGCTCCCCTTCAGATCATCTACAAAGCAATACCCCTCACACCTCCCAACTACCGGTCCGGCTGAGACGCAACTCTAGTTGATGACTTGGTGAGCCGCATCGGCACTTGTGGGACCTGAGTAGCAGTGACACCTTGGTTCAGGAAGTGAGCGGGGATCTGTTTGCACGGGTTTCCCGGCAGTGACGGAAAGATGGACACAGTGGAGGACAAAGATAAGCAAGCGAGGAGTTATTCTCCGCTTGAGTGCGTTGTTGTTACGTACGCATCGTGGCAGGGGTCCTTTGGTGGTTTACACGATGGCAAGCAATAGGGCGTCGTTTGGTGAGATATCAGAACAGCTACTGCAAGTTGGGCGTTTTGTAAGCCACATTCTTGAGCTCCCGTCCGGAGTTAGGGGATCATGTAGTTTCCCGGCCCCGGCTCCGGCCCCGGCCCGGAAATCAAACAGAGGCGGGTATTTATATGCAAGATTGTGTTGCTACAGACCAAGTCACTACACATACATATGTAAGTGAGAAGCGTGTGGGTGAGACATGACGGTTGCTGATAGCTGCCATTGACGAATGGAAAGAAAGCAGGGGTAGCATTCGTCTCTGCGGGGTTTAGGAGGATTTCGACCGTCATGAAAAAAAGCCAAGACGTAAAACAATCCACAATAAGAGGCAGGCTGCACGTCCATTGTTGGTGCTGTCGTTGCAGGGATTGATTATGTCCTTCTTGTTCTAGATAATTCTTACGAGACGAGCGAGAGATGGTTTTGATAGACCGACGCGTTATGTAAAACATGTCAAGATGGAGGCGTTGTCAACGTGACGTGTATCTCAGGCTCATGATTGGTTGTGTGGGAGATATAGGAGGGGCAGAAGGGGGGCTTTAGATAAGTGCTGATGCATATTGAAGCTCCAGATTATGGATATAATAGCTTTCAGAGAAATGGGGTCTTCGAAAGCCATGAAGATATTGAAGCTCCGAAAAGAGGAGAAGAAAGAGGGCTGGAAAGAGATCATAGTTGTCTCAGCTGTCAATGCCAAACAGGCCTAGACATACAAAGTTTACCTAGAGGAAGATCATGATGGAAGTTAGTTGCTAGGTCCAGGGAGTTGCTCTTTTGCTCCTCTGATGGCTGCACAAGATTGGATCCTGGCCCCTGGTTTCTCGATCGCCTGCAGCGGTTTTGCAGGAAAACGACATCAAATCCCGGGTGAGCCAATAAGGCTTGGTCTTGGTTATCGACTTGCCTGTCTCGGGATAACGCGAACTTTTGACCAGCTGGGGTCTTTGTTCTTTTTTTCTAGACTTTTTCCTACGGTGCCATTGAAAATTCTGACGATGTTGTAGGCGATGCTACTATATTCAATGGGCTGGGAACTTGTAGTAGAATAGGCAGGTGATTGTTATATACGGTGAAGATGGGAGGCGGAAGACTGAATGCCATTCCTGTAAACCTCCTTGGCATATGGACTAACGCAAACGAAACGGGACTGATCTCGATTGGAATGGCTCTGCTGTGTACTGTGTCATCTCCTAAGTCGAAGAAAGTTACTCTTGATTTCCGATACGTAAGGTATTACATTGACAATCCGTCACCTGACAATTGGTGTGTGCTACGCCTCCTAGAGGATGGCAGAAAACGTAAGACTTTGACCCCAAGTGATAAAATTACTGTGGCAGATTTACTACGATATCTTAGTAAGTTCAGTGTTCAGTAGGCTCTCTGATCAGTTTATTTTTACATCCCGACCTAGAGTCCTAAGTCTTTTGACCCTCCAATGTTCATGTTGATTTCTAACATCAACGTGTTAATGCTAGTCGTTGGACACAGATGACAGAGAAAATAACGACAACGCTCATGACCGTCCCTGATAGCCTTTGAGCCTATCACATCTGTTCCATCTTTACCGACATCTTTGTTTCACCCCCAGAACAGCCATCACAGCCTGTCTTATTCGCTAGGGACAGTAGGTACTATTCAGGTACAGTACGGAGTACTCGGCGTCTCCCTTCCCCTCAACAGGGAATAAGAAAAGCTTTTACCCCAGGTCTCTGTTAGCTGAGCACGTTTTGCCCTGACCAATTGAGGCTGGAGACTCCATTGAACTGGCTCTGCACTGGCCTCTCCCGGCCGAGATTGCTTTGTCTCTGGCTTCGAGTGATCATCCCCCGCATTGAGTTCCACTGCCGAGTCTTTATCTACAAGGGTACGTACCTGCCTGGACAATCACGCACAGGGCACTCGAATCAAAACCCTTGTGTCCGGCGTCCTGGGTCATGTTCTTAGACTAATATATACAAGCTACTCACCGAACCCAGCGGCCCAGAAGAACTCCAAAAAGGTCGTCCATCCCCCCAGTCCGCTTCTCTTCGGCCCACGCTTTCTTGTCTTCCCTCGCCGAACCGCCGCAAACCGAAACGCGGCATCATATTCTATCAGCCTTGTCGTTTTATTTATCGCCATTGAATAAGAGCCTCGCCCGCTTTTGAGCTAACCTGCCTGCTTCAAGCACGGCGACGTCGTCGTCGACGCCTGCGCTGGGCGTCTTATCGAGCCCCAGCACCTCCATTTCCAGCTCGGCATCCCGATCGCCAAGGAACATCAACGAAACCTCATCCAAATTCCTCTCAGCCATTGATAATGGCCCCGTATCAACCGGCTTCCGGGGCCTCAGACTCGAGTCCCGCCGCATCGATCAATAACGCACAAGGTTCAGCACAGCAGACGCCTGGCGGAAACGCAAACCAAGCACCTCAACACAAGCGCGTATATCAAGCCTGTATCCCTTGTCGGCGGCGCAAAGTGCGATGCGATCTTGGCAGTGTTGACAACCCCCACGATCCTCCATGTGTGCGTTGTCGTCGCGAGAGCAAAGATTGCTATTTCAGTGCCACTCGTCGCAAGCGCAAGACGGATGACGATGGAAGTGATCAGGATGATTACATCACGAGAAATGGTCGCAAACGAACTAATAGAAATGCGAGCCCTCCGCCATTCATCGAACGCAGGTCCTACAGCAATGTTCCCTTGACTCCGGGAGGTTCCCGAGGACAGTCCCAGCCACTCCGTCGTCCTGATGGCAACAGGGCTGGCCGCGGGAGGGATGAGTGGGGAGGGGAAGGTGATGCCAACCAGACTCTTGAGAACATCGAAGCTCAGACGGTTATGCGGCGAGGCGTATTTGGTCCCCAGGATGCACTGGACCTGTTGTATAAAGCTGCAACGGATAGGTATGATCTGCGCTTACTCGATCCTCAATCAAATCCAGGCTCAATGCTAACTCCTAACAGTCCCGCCGTCGACCGTGAACGCCGAGAAAGCACTTCATCTGCCCATCCTGCGCCCCCTCGCCCCCCACCTGAGGATACTGGTCCTTATGGCTATGTCCCCAGATCAACTTCCAAACCACCAAAGACGGAACAGCCCATTGACCCTGAGCTTTCACGCCCTGAGCTTAGCTCGCAGCCAGGGTATGCTGAAGCGATCAAGGCCTGGCAACGCTTCCGGTTCGTTCGTGCTGGTTGGTTCACAGCCCTCGAGGCTATCGAATACATTGACTAGTAAGACCACCTTTAATCCCTGTGACAGAATCAGTTTGCTAATTCTTCTAACAGTTACTACAAATATTTGTCTCCCCTGACACCTATATCGCCGCCCACCTTCAGCAACCCTGCATCTCATGTCACTTTACTTTACGAAGAGCCTATTCTGACCGTTACGCTTCTGACGATCGCCTCGCGATACCGCCAAATGCCCGGTACCGGTGGTCATTGCCGATCCCACGCAATTCACGAGCAACTATGGATGTATCTGCGGGGAATGATCGAGCGATGCTTATGGGGACAAGAAGCCTTTGGTGGTGGCTTTTGCGTGCCACCAAGCACCAGTGCCATTTTTGACGAGTCTCAAACGAGCAGTACGGCACCTTGGCGTGGACTACGCAAGGGCAGTTTGCGAACCCTCGGAACAATTGAGTCGCTGATGATCCTGACCGAGTGGCATCCCCGCGCTCTGCACTTCCCGCCCACCGAGGCTACCGACGAACTAGTTCTTCCTATGGAAGCCAGCTTCCAAGCTATCACAGCTGCCGATGAGGACCCAAGTAAGACTTTGGGTACTGGTTTCGGCGGCAAGAGGATTGAGAGCTGGCTCGAGCCGGCATGGAGAAGTGACCGGATGTGTTGGATGTTGCTCAGCACTGCAAATGGACTGGCCTATGAGCTGGGTGTCTTTGATGATATCGATGAGCTACTGAGAGACGATGCTATTACTCGCCCAGAGTATCAAGAAGAATCATACAGGCAGAGAGCTTTCCGAATTAAACGTCTATTGCTTATCTATACTACACAACTGGCAGGTCGTCTCGGCTGGACCAACATGGCTCCAGCTCATCTCAGGAGAAGCGATCCTGCTCTGGCTCGATTCCGGCCCACGTCGGTGGATGGAACAACTCCTGGGACGAACCCTTCTTCGTTGTCTAACCACTTCAACTATGTCCCCGACCTAGAACTGGATGATCAAATTATTCATTGCTGGGCCGGCATCAGCAATGCTATGGAGATGGGTAACGAAAAGATTTTCCGTTCACGGAAGTATACCACACAAATCATCCAGAACGGGAAGTACATAAGCATCCTCAAGGAGTTTGAGCCTCTTCTCCGCGATTGGTGGAGAGAATTCGAGCTGTTCCGTCTGCCCGAGTTTATCAGACATATTCTGACGATCGAGTATCAATATGTGCGCATCTACATCAACTCTCTTTCGCTTCAAGCCGTTGTCGAACGCTGCACCAACCAAGCCGGGGCGACAGCCAACTCGGGACACCATGGAGCATCAGCTGTGAATGGTCACCCGCAGTTGTCGCCCCAGACTATGATCAATTATGGGAAGCTTCCTCTGGGTCAACTTGGTGGTTTCACTGCCCACGATCAGGAGTATATTCGTGAAGTAGTTGAGGGAAGTCGAAACCTTCTTCGCACAGTCGTCGAGGGTTTACTACCCGGCGACTATCTCAAGCATGCTCCTGTGCGAACATATTTCCGCATCATTAGTGGTGCCATGTTCCTGCTCAAGACCTTTGCTCTCGGTGCCCCGAGATCAGACGTCAGAATGAGCATCGAATTAATGGACGCAACTGTTGAGGCGCTCCGAAACTGCGTCGTGGACGACGTCCATCTGGGAATCCGTTTTGCAGACCTTCTCGAGTCTCTGACGAGCCGCCTCCGCAACCGATTCATCCAGGCTCCCACTATGCAGCAGGCTTCTGGCAGGGGACAAAGTCCCGTTCCAGATGGCCAGACCCAGGATGGTGACAGTGTTGCTGCGAATGGCGACGGTAATGCCAACTGGGTCGGTGGTCATGCTCAGAGACTCCGAGATGGGCTCAGCGGAAACGGTAAGCATCCTGTACAAAGGGGTGTTGATATCAATACTGACGACCCTAATTCAGCACCAGCTCAGGCCCCTACTCACGAGGCCAACAATATTTCAGCGACGCCATTCGATCTATCAACCCAGAACTTCCCCTATCCTGGGCAGGGCTCGATGGGTCCATCTACACCTACCGTTGTGGACAATGCGGTTGCCAATATGGATGTCAGCCTCTTTGAAGACTGGAACCACCAAGGCAACGAGATGTGGTATCTGCCTCCTGGCCCAGCTTTCTTCCAAAACGTGGAGAATCCTTCCGTTGCCATGGGACCTGAGGGTGTCAATGTTGGTGGTCTCGATCTTCTCGAGTATATGGCCATGGATCCCTCTCAATTCCCAGGGTTGGATCCGTCTTCTGGTCCACCAACAAGCCACGCGTAGATCGGGCGAAGCTTCACCTCACCGTCATGCAATAGGAGGTTCTCGATGCTTATGCCTTCTCGCATCGTCGGTTGCAAGGAGACTGGCCAAAGGCCCCTTCTCTATCTTAACCAACATCTATTACGCTTTTTTGATATGTCTTGTCGAGAGTATGACTATGGAAGATTGAAGTCTTCGACGGCGTAGCAGAGATTTGGAAATCAACAGTATCAGCCGAATGCAAGGATTATTGTGGCTTTGTGACAGCAAATACTTCACAACAGGAAGAGTGGGGGAAATTCATGCAGAACGGCGGAAATCAGGAAACAAAAGACGAAAATTAAAGGAGGGATTTTGCATATTGAGCGACAGACCAAAAGGTACATGCGATGGGCTTGTGATTGAAGTTGAGGACTGCAATGATTGGGGGTTATTGCATTTTGATAGTCTTACGAAACAGAAAAGTATAGCACAAAAAGTTGAAAAGATCCAATAGACTAATGTCGAAAGACTAGACAACTCTCATCGTGATGATTTACGCCTGTGACTGAGATACGTCCTGAATGAAGCAAGCCGCTGCTTTGCATGGTCGGATAATGATGGGACTTGGAATAGCTCATGTTTCTTTCTACACTGGTCTGGCCCATTTTCGACTAACCTCCTTCTCTCCATCCCTAACAAAATCAGAATAACCTCCACCGCCTATCCAACCTCCCCCTTCCCCTCCCTTTTGCATTGATGAATGTCCTCGCGTGACGAGGAGAACCGACAGACTATGCGGGTAAAAATAGCGAGCAACAGGTGTCAAGAAGAAGAAGACAAACAAGGCTCGTATGTGTGAAATAGAAATGGGTACAAAAAAAAAGAGAGAAAGAAAGCCGTTGGGGCTACTCGATGAAAGGGGAAAGTGTGTGGTATCATGCGTACATAGTTGAACATGTGAAGAGAACACAAATAGAAAATTATGTGAAAGGCTCTAGAGATGAGCGTGTTTAAAAGGGAATATACAACGTCTGGTAGGAACGTCGAGGAAGGTGAGAATCCTCGACATAAAGTGTAGAAAGAAACATCTGGCGGTTTATCAGACACTCAAGCCGGTAGTATACACTCTGAAGCCAAGATGTAGATGGGTGGGGTGTCGTAAGGCCGTTAACGTATCGCAAGACGTGGAAGGCGGTTTGTGGCGGGCGGCAAGATGATTGCCATCTATATGTAACAGAGAAAATGGACGAATGGGTGCGAACATGTGGCTCGCGTTTGATGGTACCGTAGACTCGTCTCAGACGCTGCGGCAAAGATCTGGGCATCAAATCACAGACTGAATGAGGTAGCGTGTCTGGCGTGGGCCTCTTGAAGGACTGTTTCAGTTGTTAGCATATGTTATAAACCCACGCAAATCGGCGACACTTACTGTCAAGAATGCCCATCTGTCCGGAACGGTCCATGCACGCCAGTTGCACGCTACTACCGTCAACCAAGTCTAGGACAACGCTGTTGGGCAACTCCTGGACCTCGACATCAGGGATGTAGGGAGATCGGAAGTCACTCATGTGGTAGCGCTTCGTACCTTGAGCGGTGCGGCTGCTCTGAGCCGGGAGAGCGCTCAAAATGAGGAAACCCTGAGAGTCCAAACACATGTTACGTCGCTTCCAGAGAAGGTTGTCAGGAAACTGCACATTGACATCGCCCATGTAGGACACGATGGAGGGGGGGCCGGCAGTAGTCGCAGGTCGAACAGGCTCTGCCATCTCCTCGTGCACAGTTGGCGAGAGGATTGTAGGGGGCGTAGTCTTGCCACGTGAACTGGAAAGGGATGAGAGACGACGCATGAATCGACCAGCCCTTGACTTCTTCTTCTCACTGTTTGACTTAGTTTCGTCGCCAGAGGCTGAGCTCTCAGTAGTAGCTGTAGGGGACAGTACGTTGTCCCTGTCGCGGCTGATGGATGACCGTCGGCTGCTGATTGAAAGCCGCTTGCCCTGGTGAGTTGAAGGAGGGCGGGTGGGAGACTGTGAACCCTTGGCACCACCTGCATCAGACGATGGCGAAGTAAGAGACTTGCGGCGGTCGTTAATGAAATCCTTCACGACACTTAGGGAAGACCGTCGAGAGTTGTCTTCCTTATCTCGACTCTTCGACTCTGATCGACGGCCTTCCTTAGACATACGACGCTCAAGAATGGTCTCCTTAGAATGCTCAAGCGCTGCAGGGGTCCATACTGGTGAGGCCTTCTGGTGGTCTACCAAGAGAGGAGACTCCTTAAGTTCCACTGGGTTGAACTCTGATGGATCCTTTGGTGGTTCGAGTGATTTCGCTGCGTTCTGGCTCGGATCTCGTACTATTCTAGCAGTGACCGAGATTGACTCAGGCGAGCCGCCGTTCTCTTGCGCATGTGATTCAAACTTAGACAAGCGACTGGCAACCGAGTTCGAGCGCTCCCTGTGAGATTTTCTAGCTCTATCAGGTGACTCGTCTCGAGAACCAGATCGTGAAGGTGGTGTTCGCAGATTTTGGCGGTTGAAAGAGCTAGCTCGATCCGCAATAGATGGAGATCGAGTGGGCTCGCGACTTCTTCGCACAGAGAAGAATGCCGAAGATGGTCTCTCTCGGCTTGAGGGAGTAGGTGTAGGACTGAGAGTACTCTCACCAGTGCTGGCTGAGAGCTTTTCAAGAGCCTTGATACGTTGCGAGATACTTGATCCCACAGTAGACTTCCTAGTCAGGCTGGGTCCATTAGGCTGTTGGGCAACTTTGTGCAAGTAAGCAGCTCCTGAGCTTACAGATCGTGCTGAGCTTGTGGTGACATCGCCAGGGGCAAGAAGCTTGCCATGGACAGGGTTCGAGACGGTGCGAACGATGGTCGGAGATCGTTCGCCCTTCGTTGGGCTAGGGAAAACTGGAGTGACAGGGCTCTTAGCAACAGTCATCGGTTTCGCCTCATGAAGAGTCGCGCTATGCAGCTCCTCCATCAAGTCCTCATCGTCAGAAAGACGGTCCTTGTCTTCGGCAAAGTCCGTTTTGATAGGCTCGATATTGGTCTTGCGCTTGTGCTGCTTTGTTTCGGGCAGCTCCTCATTATTTTCCTCCTCCTCATCCTTTTCTGTTACGATGATGGGGCTATTCTCGCGAGTACTTCGGTTAGGGGAATTAGAGGCTGGACTTGGTTCCGTCTTCAGGTCCTGAGTCGAGAACTTCGACTTAAGGATCTTGGATGTGCCAATGATGGGGGATAGCGGCTCGTCCACTTTGCTGATGTTGGCCGAAACCTCAGTTGTCTCTAATGTGTCAGGAGTATGGTCCGCTGTGGGCTGGCTGCTAGTAACAGAGACTGCTGTTTCCAGAGCAGAAATGTTGGTGTCAGTCTCTGGTAAAGGCTCTGGCGTTGTATCCTCAATCTTCTCCTCGTCCTTGCTTGGAAGGGAGTCAATCACCGGCGTCAACTCTTCAGCGGTAGCAATTTCTTCACTTGTTTGCGTATTAGAAGCTTCGACATTTTCAACCTTCTCATCTTCGTCCAGATCATGTTCATCTTCGTTCTTTGGGTGCAGGGTTTCGTCCGTTGATTCTGAAAGCGAAGATGCCTTGGTAGATATCTCTGGTTCGGAAGATGCAATGACTGGGCTATCAGGGTGAGAATCGGTCTGAGCAAGATCGGAAGTTTGATCATTATTCATGGACGCGGAAGACGCATCCAATCCAATACCTGAGTCGGCATTTGAGATGGATGGGTGGTCGGATTCCGTTTCGTGTTGAGTTTCATGATCCTCTGCTCGGTCTGTAGATGAATCGCCATCGCTAGGTCCGGGGGATTCGAGAGGAGGTGACGGAGCACCTGCCACCTCGGCTGCCATATTCGCCTTCTTTTTCTCTCGGAGCTTCATAGCCTTCATTAATCTCGCCTTTTCCGGTGAAATGGTCGGTTTGGCGGGTGGAGGCATAGGCAAAACAGGAGAGCCAGGGATAGATACTCCAGAGCTTGTTGCGGGGCGGGTGAGTTCTGTATGCACAATTTGTAGTCCATCCTGTTCAGTCACTGTGTCTTTGTCCTCGACAGAAGCATCCTCGGCGGTGGCGGGGCCGTCCCTATTCTTCTCTTTTTTAGAGCCCTTGCCAAACAACTTAAAACCGGAAGGCATCTGAGAAACAGGGCGATATGCGCCGGCAGTGCGTGGTCTTCCGTTTGTATCAAGCGAGGGGCGCGGTCCAAGCTTCACTTTAGGCTTTCCGTAGTTGTATGATGAATAGGAATACAAGTCGGGTCGGCCTGATTGCGATGACATTCGCGGCTGTGCTTCTGATTGAGAAGGAGAAACGGGCCTGTCATCAGCGCCAACGAAGTTGGGTACCTCAGATGTTGAAGCGTCAGTGAATTTGCTATGCTCTGGAGATGCGGCAAGCTCTGAGTTTAGCGTGACTGTCTCCGTAGGCAAGACAGTGTCATGACTTGTCTTGGCTGTCTTAGGTCGAATGTCACCGTCTTCGTTGTCCTCGGCAACTGATTGGCGTTTTGTGGCGCGTTGTTGCTGCTCCTCTTCCTCCTCCTCTGCGATCTCCATCAATCGTCTTCGGCGTAACGAGCTTGAGGATGATGAATTTGACCCAGAAGCGGCATGCAGAGAGCACGCGGCCGATAGTTTCGTATCCTTGAGTTCCTTGGCTTCGGTAATTTCGAAAATGGTATCGTAGGGTGAGAATCGGTCGCAGACGGCGTTAAAGTGAACAGCTACTCTCGCTGTATATCGAAAACGTGTCAGTGTGTCAAGCCGCGAACGGACATGTCTAGGCGGGGGGAGAAAATGGGGACGGACCTTGAATGAGACGAGAGCAATCTTCAGGCAGATACTTAATTACCACGTTCCTTCTTCGATATCTCAAGAAACCGTAGAGAGGGCTCGTTTCCTCGTATCCAGCGACATTATTGCGCACTTCGACCACGCCGCCGGAGCCGCGACCTAACAATTCGACTTCATCGCGACTCGCATACTTGAGGAGGAACCTGAATATTTAGCTGACCGTTCATTTCCAGCATATTAGAACGATTGTTAAACGTACCATCCTCCCGGTTCGGCGACAGCGGCCTCGTGGGCTTCCTGAACCTTTGGATCGTCCAACCCATTCAACGACATGGTGTCTCCGTTACAAGTAGATCAAAGAGAGACAAAGCAGGAGAAAAGAGCGGGAGCTGGAAAGGCTAAGTTGACGCCGCCGACATGCAAAGTCGAAAAATTAATTGATAGAAAGGAGATAAAGGAAAGGCAAGCAGAAGCACAAAAGCAGCTGCAAATGGGTCGAGCAAAGATGCTCCAGGTCGGTCGAGATTCGAAAAGACGAGATTCGAGGACGAAGTCGGAAAGGCAAAGGCGAAAGGGAAAGAAAGAGAACAACTAGAAATGAAGCTCTCCCGAAAGACGGGGGAATCTGCCAAATCAGTCGAGAGGGTAGTAGAGCTAGTCCACTCCAGTATAATTCGGGGTCGTTTCGAGTCGAGATGCCTGGCGACTGGATGAGGTTTGGCGGGTGGG